TACCTCTTCCTTTCGTTGTAGTTCTCTCCTCTGTGGAATTTCTGTTCTCAATTGCCAGCCACTGTTCTGAACTCCATGCTTTGATAGCTCAACCCAGTAGGCTGTGGCTTGCCCGACTGTTGTATTTACCATCACCTTGCGCTGACTGGACTGTTGAGTGGTTCCAGGAGAAACAGACTCACATCTTACCCAATGTAGTTCTTTTTCAGCGCTCCTCTCCCTTTTCCACCCATTTTCAGTGCCTCACATAGTTTGAAATATATTTTGCCTTAGTTAAGCTGTTATCCAGAGCAAGGTTAACTCATTGTAACATTTCTGCCATTGTTGGAATCGGAATTCTTTTGTTGTGTTCCTTTATCCCCAACCTCTCTCCCACTTTTTGACATGATTTATGTAGCCCATGCTAATTCCAAAATCTCGGGATTATAAGCATAGACCACTAACCATCCTTAAAAAAAAAAAAACAGAATTCTTTGCCATAAGTTTTATTAGTTTATTCAATAATTATTAGTTCATGTGTTTTTTTTTTTTTTTTTTGGTTTTTCGAGACAGGATTTCTCTGTGGCTTTGGAGCCTGTCCTGGAACTAGCTCTGTAGACCAGGCTGGTCTCGAACTCACAGAGATCCGCCTGCCTCTGCCTCCCGAGTGCTGGGATTAAAGGCGTGCGCCACCACCGCCCAGCTGTTCATGTGTATTTTTAAAAATATTTTTTTTAAAGATTTATTTATTTATTATGTATACAACATTCTGCCTCGATATATGCCCGCACGCCAGAGGAGGGCGCCAGATCTCATTACAGATGGTTGTGAGCCACCATGTGGTTGCTGGGAATTGAACTCAGGACTTCTGGAAGAGCAGTCAGTGCTCTTAACCTCTGAGCCATCTCTCCAGCCCTTTTAAAAATATTTTATAAGAATATTTTTTAATTGATCTAATGAGCTCTACCTTTTTCTCTGTTCCCCTGCCTGCCTCTCCCCTCCCCTTCAACCCTCTCTCATGGTCCCCATGCTCCCAATTTACTCAGGAGATCTTGTCTTTTTCTACTTCCCATGTATTTATTTATTTATTTTGATTTTTCGAGACAGGGTTTCTCCGTAGCTTTTTGGTTCCTGTCCTGGAACTAGCTCTTGTAGACCAGGCTGGCCTCGAACTCACAGAGATCCGCCTGCCTCTGCCTCCCGAGTGCTGGGATTAAAGGCGTGCGCCACCACCGCCCGGCATTCTACTTCCCATGTAGATTAGATCAATGTATGTCTCTCTTGGGGTCCTCATTGTTGTCTAGGTTCTCTGGGATTGTGATTTGTAGGCTGGTTTTCTTTGCTAACCACTTATGAGTGAGTACATATAATAATCGTCCTTCTGGGTCTGGGTTACCTCACTCAATATGATATTTTCTAGCTCCATCCATTTGCCTGCAAATTTCAAGATGTCATTATTTTTTTCTGCTGTGTAATACTCCATTGTGTAAATGGACTGCATTTTCCTTATAAGAATAATTTTAATGGGACCAGAGAGATGGCTTAGGGGTTAAGATCACCTGATACTTTTAGAGAAGACCTACGTTCAGTTCCCAGCACCCACATGGAAATTTACAGCTGTCCATAGCTCTAGTTCCAGGGGTTCTGGTGTATTCTGGCTTATTCAGGTACCAGGCACACATACTCATGCATTGTACATGTGTACATGCAGGCAAAACACACACATAAAATAAGAAAAATTTTAAAAATACTTTTACTATGTTTTGAAATAATTTCAATTTAAATGATAAATGAAACAAGAAAATGTTTCAACTTGTTTAAAAGAAGACTTATTTCATAATATTGTTAGTGAGAGCTAGGACTACAGAAGAAAAAGGGGTTTTTTTTTTCCTACCAATTTTTTGAAAAATAATAATTGGCCAAAAGCAAATTTTAGAATTCTGTTTATGCTTTTATAAACTGAAAGTGAATGAATAAATAAATAGGGAGAAGACACAATTCTTCCCTACAGAAGGATTCCAATTTATAAAAATGTGGAAGGAAGAAGAAATTTAAGATTCACCATTAGAAAATTACTATAGGCAAGATCCTTCAAAGGTTACTAGAATTAGTGGTAGAAATTTAAAGTAGAAACTATTTGCATACCCTCAAAATATTTTCTGTAATCTATTTAATAATTCCCGAAGGGGAAATTACACATTCCCAGCATGGCCGAGTGGTGGAGGCAAATATCAGAAGAACTGTTAGCATGTGTTTTGATTTGATGCCCTAAGATGGAAGGGCCTGTCATCTCACTTGTATCCTTCAAATAATGACCTCGTTCTGATCATGAGTTGAGGGAGATCCTATTGATTAACTGATTTAGAAGTGTCAGTCATGAAAGACAAGGAAAACTGAGAACTTGTGCCGGATTATAGAAGACTGAGGAGGTATGACAAACAAATGCAGACCAAGTCGCTGCATGAGGTCTACACTTCATGGACTGTCACGTTATACACACCCCTTTGTGATTGAAGGTTTTACCCAGCACTTAACTACTCTAGCAGAGGATCCAAGTTTGGATCCCAGCTCCCACATTAAGTAGCTCACAAATGCCTGTAGTTCCAAGGCAGTGTTTCTCAACTTCCTAATACCACCACCTTTTAGTACAGTTCCTCATGTGGTGGTGACCCCCAACCATAAAGTTATTTTTGTTGCTACTTCCTAACTGTAACTTCGCTACCTTTATGAATAGTAACATAAATATCTGTGTTTTCCGATGGTCTTGGGCAGCCCTTGTGAAAGGGCCATCCCAGCCTGTTGAAGGAGCTGTGGGCTGCGTTCCTACCACCCAGCTCCCGGCCGCCTGGCTAGCTTATGCCCCAAAATAACAACACACAAACTGTATTCATACAAACACTGCTTGGCCCATTTCTATTAATGTGTGTAGCACCACGAGGTGGTGACTTACCTGGGAGATTCTTGGGTCGGAGCTTCATCACATCTGCCTCAGAGAGGAGAGCTTTGGAGTCTCTCTGAGGCATCTTACCTCACTTCCTCTTCCTCCCAGCATTCTGTTCTGTTTACTCCACCCACCTATGTTCTAACCTATCGGGCCAAGCAGTTTCTTTATTAATTAACCAATGACCTTCCTCCATCACCAGCCCACAGGTTGAGAACTACTGTTCCAGAGGAGTCATGCATGCACTTCCAACTTCTGAGACAGAGGCACACACACACAAAATCTTTTTAAAAAAAAATCTCTCCCAAAAGAGTCTTTCTATGTAGCCCAGGTTGGCCTCAACTAGTTATCCTCTTACATCAGCACTGAAGTGCGGGGTCTGTAGGTATATACCACCATGCTTGGCTCCAAGTTATCTTCCCTGAGTATTGTGTGCTGCTGGGGATTGAACCTAGAGTTTAATGCATGCTAGGCAAGTGTGTTACATCTACAGCCCGGTTTCTTAGTTTTGATAAATGTTCTCGGAGATATCCTATTAGGGAGAAGCTGAGTTAAGGAAGTACAAAACATCTTTGTAACTTCGGTAAATATGAAATTTCTCTTTATTCATAAAATAGGGTTTTTTTTTAATCAATGTTAAGTGATTGTGGCTTAAATGTCATCACCTTGGTTCTCAAAGACCATTCCCAGGCCAAAAGTGTCAGCATCTGCTGGAAATTGTGCTTCATCAAGCCCCCCAGGTTATTCTGATGGCACACCCAAATGGAGAACAATGATCTGTGCTTTAGATTCTATACTATTCACAACAACTTTAAATTGAAAGCACACTCAGGAAGCTGAGGTAGGAGGGATTGCCACAAGTTTAATCACAAACAGGACTATATTGTAAGATTCATTTTCAAAAAGGAATAACTGGGGTCTGGAGAGGGCTTAGAGGTTAAGGGCACTTACTGCGGTTGTGTAGTGTTGGCATATGCCTTTTATCTCAGCACTCAGGAGGCAGAGACAGGTAGACATCTGTGAGTTTGAGGCCATCCTGGTGTAAAAAGTTCTTGGACAGCCAGGGCAGCATAGTGAAACCCTGTCTCGATAAACCAAATTAATTAATTAACTAATTAATAAAATAATGTGTTTTGGCCATGTGTGCACACCTTTAATCCCACCTCTTAAGAGAGAGAGGCAGGTAGATCTCTTGAGTTCCAGGACAGCCAGGGGTACACACAGAAACCCTGCCAGGGGGCAAGGGGATTAAAGCATTTTTTGCCATGAAAGAAAACTGTACTGTAGTCAATATCTGTGTCCATTTCCTAGAGTTCTGATTTTAATCTCTTCTGGTCAGGCTCCCAAGTGTACTTGAGACCTACTCTTTCTTTCATTCTTTTTTCTTTTGCTGTTGTGGTTGAAACAAGGTCCAGCTATGGATTCCAGGCTGATCTGGAACTGGTCGTATAGCCTAGTCTATGGATTCCAGGCTGATCTGGAACTGGTCGTATAGCCTAGTCTATGGATTCCAGGCTGATCTGGAACTGGTCGTATAGCCTAGTCTATGGATTCCAGGCTGATCTGGAACTGGTCGTATATAGCCTAGTCTGGCTTCAAGTTCACAATCCTCCTCAGTGATAGTTTACACTGTGTGCCATCATGTCTGGCTTATAATTAACTACTATTTTAAACAGACCATGGGTTCTTAAATTTAACACTTTATTTTATTTTCAGACAGTATCACTGTGTTGCCCAGGCTAGTTTCAGACTTACAGTCTTCCCACATTGGCCACTATAGTGCTAGGATTATACCATATCTGACTGAAGTTTGCATTTTAAAAAAATGTTGTGTATCCAATCCTCTATCTCCCGTTCATACCATGAATCCCTACTCATTTGTTCATGTGGCTTCTATGGGCTCTATCCTTACCTCTTCTCTACTGTTCCTTCAGCAGCCGCAAATCTCAAATTTATAAATAGAATTGTATGTTGATTTAGAGAAATAGAGTCTGACAGCTATTGTCAGTATTTCAGTATCTAAAACAAAATAAAACAAAAAAAGTGATTTTTTTTTTTCCCTTGAAAATTGTCTCTACAGACTTACAACAGCTGTGCCAGGCTCTGCATAAACCAAGAGACAGTATGTCTGACAAGCACTGCTATGAAGACTGAAAACTGTGTGGCCAAAGTGAGTAACAGCGTTCACCCCTTAACATTATACCGCATTGCGACAGCACTGCGCCTGTAGTTCTTTATTCAGTGTTGTTACCACAGACTATCGTATGATTGTATATTTATGAAAAGACTGTAGGCAGGCATTACTTTATACAGAGTGAACTGAAAGTTGGGTTTTCTAGTTCTTCAGCTGCAACAGAATCTTCCAGTCATACTGATAAGTAAAATTTGTTAACAGTTTGTTTTGTAACTTTCTTTGTGGCTTATTTTTGTTGTTGTTCATTGTTTTAGTTTTTGGTTTTTTGCAAGACAGGGTTTCTCTGTGTAGCCTTGGCAAATTCTTAAACTCACAATGTAGACCAGGCTTGCCTCAAGATCTGCCTGCTTCTGCCTTCTGAGTGCTGGGATTGCCTAACCTCCTTCAAGTGTAGGTGTAACATCCCAGAAATACACTGATGGTGCAGTGTGAGCAGGGTGGGGTGGCTGCAGAGATCCCAGGTGTGTGGTGCCGCTGCTACTTAAGAAATGTCATGTTTGGTGGTTTTGAGTGGAAAAGTGTGTTTAACTGACATAGGGGCCAAGTCTTTCATGTATAAATGTGTGTTGTATCTCTAGTTACAAAGATAATATTAAAAATTAGAAATCTTCGGGGCTAGAGAGATGGCTCAGTGGTTAAGGACTGCTCTTGTATGGGGCCCAGGTTCCTTGTCAGCACCACATGATGGCTCACATTATCTGTAGCTCCAGTTCTGGGGACCCAGTGTCTTGCCTGTCTGTATTTCTGTGTACCATGTGCATCCTCTGTGACCATTGCATGCACATGGTACACAGAAATACAGACAGGCAAAACACTCATACATAGAAAATAATTTTTTTTTAAATTAGAAACCTTAAAAATTTGTCTTTCAGTTTTCTAGATTGATTGGAGGGAGTTTTTGTTAGCGTTACTGTCTTGAGGATAATGTTCAATATGAGTTGTATTTCTAGAGTTTGTCTTCATTTTTATGCAAAAATAATCTTTATTACCATTTAGGGTTTTTTTTTTTACAACTTTCTCAACTTTCAACTTAATCTCTAGTGTCATGTACAGGCTATCATTTTTAGATATTATCATTTTGCTATCATTATTAAAGATAGGACTTTGTCATGTGGACTTCATCTTTGTTATAAAATTCATGAAGAGCTGTCTTATTTCTTTTGTGTTATTATAACAAAAAATAAAGTACGCTGGAGAGATGGCTCAGAGGTTAAGAGCACTGACTATTCTTCCAGAGGTCAAGAGTTCAATTCCCAGCAACCTTATGGAGGCTAACAACCATCTATAATGTGATCTACTGCCCACTTCTGGCTGCAGGCAGAACACTGTATACATAATAAATAAATTTAAAACAAACAACAAAAACAAGGTAGCTTATAAATAATAACTTTTTTTTTCTGTAGTTCTACAAATGGGAAGATCATTGTGGCAGTAGATTCACTGTCTAGTTGAAAGTTCACTCTTGGGGGCTGGAGAGATGGCTCAGAGGTTAAGAGCATTGCCTGCTCTTCCAAAGGTCCTGAGTTCAATTCCCAGCAACCACATGGTGGCTCACAACTCTCTGTAATGGGGTCTGGTGCCATCTTCTGGATTGCAGGCATACACACAGACAGAATATTGTATACATAATAAATAAATAATAAATATTTAAAAAAAAAAAAGAAAGTTCACTCTTGCCAGGCGGTGGTGGCGTACACCTTTAATCCCAGCACTTGGGAGGCAGAGGCTGACAGATCTCTTGTGAGTTCAAGGCCAGCCTGGTCTGCAAGAGCTAGTTCCAGGACAGGCTCCAAAGCTCCAGAAAAACCCTGTCTTGAAAAAAAAATTTACTCTTCTTCATAGATGGAGCCTTTCTATAATCTCGGGATGGAAGGAATGACCAAGCCCTCTGGGATCTCTCATTAATCCATTCATAGATTTACTTAGGGTTCTAACTCTGTTCATGAAGACTCTGTTCACAATTAGGTAGTTCAGAATATAGGAGCAACAATAATTTTTATTATATTTCCTAAAACACATGGTAATCTCTGGTCTTGCTTTATTTGCTGAAAACATACAGTTTATAGCCATTGGAAATAGCCATATGAGAAATGTCAGAATTTATTCTAAATTATAACTACAAAAGGTAGGTTCATCAAATTGTGTCTTAAGGTCAGATCTTAATTTTCTACAAAAACAAAACAAAACAAAACCGAGTAACATAATTTACACTTACTCTTCAGTTACTTAGTAATAATTTCTAAGTGCTACTTGGCCCTGTTTTATATTTAGCATTGGTGTCTGGAGACAGGGATCCAAAAAAAATATTCTTTCAATCCTTTTTTCAGACACACTGCTCTCACTTCATCACAAGTGAGTTACTTCTGGCTAAACAAGGCAAAAACTTAGCCTGAGCACCAATCCAAGGACAGGGTGACAGTTTTAATGAGTTTCATTGATAGCTGGCCAACTGAGCATCTGTTCCTTTTGTCTTCATGTACTTGGAGCCAGTGTTCCTACACTCCTTCCCCATGTTGCTGTATATCTGTGCAATGTGGTGTGGGTTTGCTCTTTGTTGTTGTTTTGTCTCTTTTTCTACCTTCTACTTCAGTGGCACACGGTTAGAAATCTTCCAGCATCTGGCATGGTGGTGTAATTTCTTCCATGCTCTTGAGTGAGGAAATAAGTTTGCTCGTTGCTGCTCATCAGTCTCTTTCACTTGCTCCCAGATGGTGACCTTCTCATCCCATTCTTGCTTGTTTTAACATTATTCTGACACCTATTTTCTTTCATTGTCCTCTTAACCACTCTAATTGAATAATGATTTCTATAATTTCCAGTTGGAACACAACCAACTTCCTGGTTCCTTTTATTGGCCCACATCCTGTCTTCTAGTTCATTGCTTCAAATTTGAGCCAAATCGTCAAATAAAAATATGTAACTGCGAAAATGTTTACTGCAATAGCAGCCTCCACTAGCATGGCAACAGTGAGTTTTCCTTTCTTACTGCTAAACGTGTTCTATCTGTCTCGTGATTTCACGCTGCCTCTCCTGGCCTCATTTACTGCTTGACCTTTGGAAAATGAGTTTCCAGTAGTTTTATCTGCCAGTGACCTGACTGTGAGGTACAAGTGTCTGATACTGAGTCAAACCGTGTGCTCCAGTGTCGCCTGCATGTCGCGCTGTCTCCATGTGAGAGCCACTGTAATACAGTGAAGCTAGCTTTTTTTCCTTTTACAGTTCAAAGCAACTGAATTTCAGTCAGTAATTATGGGTTGGGTATAAATACTAATTGTAGTCTTGGACCTTTTTATTAAATATTACTTATTTACATTTTACAGAAGACATTGGTCCTTCTCAAAAGCAGGGATGAACCCTGTAGCATTTTATGTTTAGCTTTCCTCTGCCAGTTACCCTGTAGCCTTGCAGTTCCTGTATGGAAAGGACTCTCCCTTTAATTCTCGGTAAAGTGTAAGAAAGCATAGCTGCTTCATAAGCCACCTTAGGTTGACAGCAGTCTCCTGGGTCTTCAGCTTGAAAGAAACACTACAGATGAAAGTGGAGAGGGGTCCAGGTAATATTCGAAGCCATGAAGTATCTTGCATATAGTTCTCCCTTTTTGTCTGTCTGTCTGTCAGTCAGTCTGTCTGTCTGTCTGTCTGTCTATCTGATGTAGCTCTGGCTACGTAGACCAGACTGTCCTTGAACTCATAGAAACCCACCTGCCTCTGCCTCCCAAGTGCTGGGATCAAAAGGTGTGTGCCACCACTCCTGGCTAGTTTGCTTTTCAAGCATCTTATCTGCTCATAGCCCTAACATTTATGAGATTTGTGTGGGAGCCATGATGAGCTCTATATTTATTGTAGTTTTAAATGGACAGTCATTAGTGACTGCCAGTTCAGTCTTTAAAATCTATAATCACATTGCACCTAATTGTCAACCTTCATGTTTTTAATTATGAAAGAAAACTGAGAACATTAATTTTTATGTTATCTTATTATTGACTTTATTGAAATACTACAGAAAATTTTAGTTCAAGGCTTTTCCATAACTTACGTTTATACCTCACACCCCTTCCATAAACATGTATAGTTAAAATTGAGTTGTTAGGATACCTCTACCTTGCTTCCTGGCCTAGATTGGAAAAGTTCTGTCTTTGTTCAGAATAAGTCCATTCAGTGGTCTTGTGTTCATTCTGTATTTCTGTTGTTTGTTATTACTGTTTTTTACTTGAGACTAATAATCTGTTTGAATCTGACTGAGACAGAAAGATGTGATGTTCCTTCCCACTCACTCCGGATTTTGATAGAAGACTTGTTTTATTTATTTCCAAAATTATATCCGCAGGAAACAAGCTGTTTAAATTCAGATTATGCTGAAGCAAAATGGTCCTGGTATGAGAAGCAACGTGCTGTTTTACGAGCACAGAGTCCCTTTTCTCATAACTGATTGATAGTAAATATTTTCCTGAAGAATTATTGCCAACCATGAACAGTACAACTGTTTCACTTTCTTTCCGTGCTCCTTGCTGTAGCAGCCATTGTCGGTAATTAAGATCTACAATTCACAATGCAGACGTTTGCACTTCCTCTGGGTCTGTGCTATTTATAAGGCGTTTCAGCTGTTCAGAGTTTCTTCTGAGTTTTAAACTACATGTTAACAGGCTCCTTTAATATACTGTTCCACAAGTAGGAAGTCAGATGTCTGTTGTTCACACAGGCCCTTCTGACAGATCTGCAGTTAGCTTCGTGGTGAACACAGCAGGATGTAATTGTATCATCAAGGCCAATGTGATTGGGAAAGCGTGGAAGTTTAACACTGTTTTAAAGAGGGCAAGGATGAAATTCGGAATTAACATCTTTTTTTTCATCTTTAAATAGTCCGTAAATTTAATGTTAATGGTTACCAAGGTTTTAAGAAATACAGAATAAAGTGACTTACTGGTTAGAATTCATAATATTTGTCAAATTAAGAGTGTGAAAATATATTCCATCTAG